ATCTCAGATTCAATTTAAACAACAAATTTTCCCAATAAATCACAAATAATTTTCAATATATGTTTTTCATTGCAATAAGAATCCGAATGTACAATGATGGCGAACTTTCACGAAAAAGACATTCAAAAACAACAGTACTTTACTACCGCGCCAATTACCACACAAAACATATCATTTCCCGTTAATAGCTTCAAGGCTGTTTTCCTTACACGGATTACCGCTGGGTCTAATGCATTTTACAGTGCGTGACGACAACCTATACGTCTGACGTCATAAYTGACGACGTAGGACATTTTAAATACGTCATGTTCTTCCGCAGAGGAAAAAACAAAACATTAAACTTAATTGAAAGTGAAAAATAAAGCCAGATTGAATCTTTATCAGCACTTTAAAACCCTGGAAAGGYGAGTAKGAGTTGAGATTTATAGGAGATAAAATTGATGTTTTGAATCAGGTTAGAAAAAAATGAAAGCAAGGAAAGTATACAATATTTTATTTTGACAGTAACAACTTTAATATATACAGAGTGAATTATCGAAATTATCGTCGTTTTTAAATTGTTCGATTATTGAAGCGGAAATATYTAAGTCCGAAATTTTAGTTTCTTGCGAATCAAGGGCTAAATCTGGAAATCAAAATTTTCTTCTAAACAATGGCGCTTTCTTCTTATGAATCTTTAGACAATCATTAATGCAAGTAATGTCTAGTGACGTCATAATAATCCGCTGACCAGTATGACACGACGAGCTTTAACATCACTTGTCGACTTGTTGGTGACAATAATATCCGATTTTCAGGAAACGTTTGTGGACATAAATATGTTTAGCAAAATTTACGTCGACTTCGGCATGTCTTAGCCTTTCTTGAATGATAACCTAATATTACAAAAACAAATACTTTTGAATTTGGTTTGGATCTATTTGTTTGCGAAATTTTTGCTTCAAATATTAAATCATTGGATGATTTGTGCAGTTCATAGATACTACAACTGATTTAGACTGAACATTCTCGTTGGTTTAGGATAAATTATCCAACTAAAAGCGTTCTCAGGGCCTTCCATCCATTGTTCCTCGAAAACTCTAAAATCCAAGATGGCGGCCGCGTTTACAAATGAACAATTCTAGCTTTAATTTTAAATTTTCAAAATTTCTGAGGTAAAGAGCTAGTATATAGTCACTATATACGAGTTAATACTAGGCATAAAACAGGGAAAATATTGTTTTGAACAGAAAAACCACTATGATTGATCCATCTCTGCTGGCTCTATATTATCAATTTCCGTTCAAAATTGACTTAAACTCACAAAGTATTTCCTCTGAATTTCAATTATTCAATTCACTGACTCATAATGACAAATAAGTGATATTTAACTGTGAATTTCATCACTGTTTTTAAACAATATTAATTGCCTTTGGAAATTTTTTTTTACCCATTTAATCTATTCGTAAACACGACGAAATTCAGAGGGTTTATAGTCAAGAGAAAATAAATAAAACGACACGACAGATATGTTATCACTAGATAAGACAAAAATGTATAAGTGAAAAACGATAAAATATGAATATTATTACGAGAGGTAAAAATAAAGATAAATAAGTCTGTAACTTAATTGAATGAGTGTTTATTAAAAGCAGTCAAATTGTGCATTTTTAATGTGGGTAGTTGAATTTGTTTTTCCAAGGCGAATCTCGATACATAGAGCAAATTTCTAGAAGCGAGCCAGCGTGAGCTTTCAAAATAACTTAAAAATAAAAAAAGGCACAGGTGAWCTTTCAATTAAAATCCCCCCATAAAACCATGATAATGTTAATAATTMAGTTTGCTTGCTTTTAGAATTCGGTGGGGGAGACAAGTGGGCTGTTCACAAAGTAGAATGCATTCAGCTATTCATAATGAAAGCGCCAGGACACGAGACATGCATCAAAAGAGTACTCCGTGAATTAAAACCCCAGTTAGAAAATGTGGTCCACGGTAAACAAACAAATCTACTCAAATTATTGAATGTGGGCGGCATGACCTGATAATTTCAAGTAATATCGATGTTTTTTTTTTCTTTTTTTCAACCACTTTATACCTCCTAGAATTATAAACAACTACACCCTATACAATTTTTTTTAAATGAAATTCATAACAAATACGTCTCAATTAGTTCTAATACACTGACAGCCTGCTAATTTTTTCCTTTCAAAACYAAAATACAGCACAATGTCTGTCACATTGTTTAATAATGCCACAAACTAGAGTTGGTTTTTTCCYYTGCTTGTCTTACGCAAACGTCACGTTTCCGACACGTATTAACTACGCATAACGTAATTTCAATCACGTAGYATTATCTAGTGGCATATATCGACACATGAAGCTGATAGACTATCAGATAGAAAGAAAAGTTTAAATCACACTGTGCCAGCTGCTGTGGAGCTCTTCGCAGGGACAAACTCTGCACTTATTCGCCAATATTTGGTAAGTTTCGTGCTTACTGAAGAATACAACTTTTTTTAAATCACTTAAAAATTAAAAGTATAGAATTTTAACTAAAGAATTATGACAATCATATCAATTATTGTGTATTTCCTGACATTGAAGTCATTAGCCTCTAGTTTAACTTTCCGCTATTTCTCTTTCGTCTTGTTTTTGTCAAAGTAACTAGCAATGGGAATAAATGCAAGTGGGAAAAATGGGAAAAATTTGCAACCGCTTGTTATTCATTTTATTTCGTCAGTTTTCTCGTTTAACTTCGAAGACAAAGATTTCCAAGTACATGTTTCTCTCTACATAACATGAAAACATCTTTCGATTGCTCATGAGACTGAATATAGTTTACAAAAGCGTTCAATATTTATCGCTGGAAAACAAGTAGCAGAACCCGGTTGTATATAAATTTTGAAAATGTGTTTGCAGCAATTATCTATCATACTAGTTGTACATTCAAAGAAGGGATTTTTTTCGCAGAGCTGAAGCTAGAAAATGATGTGAGGTCTTGATGTGTGGTTCAAGGCCTGACTTTAACGGCGAAATTCACAAGTGCTTGTAATTTAGCGACAAAACTTCTTTTCTTAACTCTGTACAACATTTGTCAGATTTGTACACAAAAAACTCGGTGCATGAGAGTCGTTGATAAATGCCCTTCAAATCGTAGAACGCCATACATTTAAGTAAACCGCTACAAAAAGGCAATAGTATCAGAGAGGCGTTAGTATTTATTTCACACAAAACCCACTGAAGTAAGGCTTCTGTAATCAAACATCTTCAGTTCTGAAATCGAAAAGGGCGTAAAAGGTTTTTATTTTATATATTAAAGAAAAAAAACACTTGAAATCAAATGTAAACTTTATACAGTATATAAAAAACACCTTCGTGTCTCCGGTAGGAGAGGAAAACTACATTTTGACCACAGATTACACAAAGCAAAGCATTTGATGTTTTGAGATAACCTACATGTGGTGATTTTCGTTCAACTGTCGAGACAAGCATAAGTGGTCGACCCTTCAATTCCGGCCATCATACTCTCCATCGATCAATCAATGGATTTTATTGTAGTGATCAAATTTAAGAGTTATGTATGCACTTTAAACCTCTCAATTCCGATACAGACCTCTTTAATCTGACCTTTCCTTCCCAAGTCGAGTTGTCTACTTATGAGTTGTCAGTTAGAGGTATCGTAAAGTTGAACCCCCAAATTCCGGCCATAAGCTATTTTAACCGTCCTAAAAGTGGTCGMAAGTGTCAACGATGAGCGCCAATCCCAGATGATAACAGTTGCTGAAGCTGGTCGGGCCTCTCAATTCCGATAAGCTTAATCCGACCAATATCTGTCCTTATAAAGCGAGTGAAAATCACACGATCAATCATCACTGCCTAAAGCAAGTGGACAGCTCAACAAACTCACCAAATCCCTCCAGGCAACAGTGACAAACTTCGACCTGTTTGAGGTAAAATCTACAAGCTATACTCTTTCCTTTCTTCGACAAATGCGTTTATCTGACACAATCTGAACTAGATAGTGCCTTGGGCACTTCGTTTTTTAAAGAAAGCTTTTAAGATCGGGAGTGAAATCRAATTATTACAAATCTCTTAAGAGGGCTTGTTTTTTTTTTATCAGATTGTCAATGTAAAATGGAAAGATGACCTCGCAAAATATAGCTGTCGTACCGACTTAGCTGCGATAAGACGCCTTACATATGGTTTTAAACATGTTAGATATCCACTTTATGTTCGAGTTAGCTCGCTAATTTTTTTATCGATCTGTTACAAGGGAAAATGCTATTTCTAAATTGTACAAAATATTTTATTCTTCTTTCTATGTAAAGTTATAGTACGTTYCGACGGAATTCTTCTCGTTAGAATAAAAAGAAATACTTAAATTAAACATTTGTTTTTCTTGCGACTTTCATGTTATAAAACACTTTGTATTTACTAGTCCATATCAGTTATATTCTCTCTATTTCTGGAAGGTTCTCAAATAATCTTTATAGATGCAAAAAACAACAACAACAACAAAAAGCATTCAATTTTCATAGACCAAAAAAACAAGCTAAAAGCAAATTGCTTATTTTAGCAATAGCAATCCCACAAAACCATCTAATATGATTTTGATCTGTGGTGGTCAATCCCATTTGTTGTCAATGATAATTGAAAATAATACGCGTTCAACGTACTACATAACATGCTTCCAGTACGGTTCTGAAAATTCTAGATATTTGATTTTAATTAGTGAAATACTGCTCTTCGCCAATTAGTCTGCATAAATAGAAAAGATTGAGCAATGTAAACTTCAGTCGCCATATTTGTTGAAAAACCACTTCACATATTTCCTCAAAATTTCACTTCATTACCGCAAAAATTACAAATAAAATGACAATAATTATTTTTAATTGTTTGGAAATGTTATAACTTTGAACATTTAAAAGAAACAGTTGTAGTGGAAATTTTGCCGCAAATTTTTTTCTCAATGTTTTCCGCAAAAACTTTCCTACAATAATCGCGCGTAAAATATCATAATTTTTTTTTGTTTGTCATTTTTAGAAATGAATAATTTCCGTTTAATAATATTTTGTGTAACTTGAACGTCCAAAACAATTAGACAGTAGTTTTTTTTAATGTCATCTATTTCTATAAGAAAATATCTTCAAGCTGTTTGACCTTGTTGGAGGACGAAAAATATTAAATTCTATACGAAAACTATATAAAAACATTTCAGTTTTTGACGGCCGTGAGGGGGGAAAAGATGGAGACCAATCGTGGGCTTGCCACAGGTGTTTCGCTTTAAAGAGTAATTAAAACAGAAATATGACGTTTTTTAGATATAATGTACAAAAACATAACAACTACAGAGCAAACCAGGTTTGTACCGAAGAGATAGGTATATAGCTGCCCTTCCAACAAGTGGGTTTGGAGTTTGAATAAATACTCCATTGCAGGCTCTGCATTCACTGTAAATTCAGCTTGGAATATTTAAGGTAATATAATAAARACACTATGAATTGTACAATATATTTTTTGTCATTTGCGGTTATTAACTTTGATTTAGTGGTTATGAACAGTCAGGAAAAAGGACGCAGCGATATTTCAATAAGTTCTAATTACATTTCTCAAATTTATAAAAACGTTTTTTAAGCGAATGTTAATAACTCTTCAGTTCTTTACAATTTTCGCCGAAGTAACGAATATTTGTCTGGCTTAGATACAAAATATTTTGATTCGGATTAGTTTGAAGGGAAATGAAGGGGATTAGTTTCAATTAAACACGTCTCAGCTGCATGGAAAAGGCTTGTTTGGAGGTGGGTTAAACGATTTCTGTTTTCATGGAGAATTYTTAGCACATATGTGAAAGTCATTCCCATATTTTAACTATTTTCGAATACCAATTGCTCTTTTTTTTGTCTCCGCCATGTTGATTCTTCAGTTTTAGCGACAACATGATGCGACGCCAAAAAAGCCATGATGTGGAAAAAAATCCCTATTTAATTAATTCGTTTCTTAAATTTCCACTGAATTTTCTTTACAGGAACTTCAAAGTCTGGTTAAACAATGCCCAATATGACAGTGGATATAAACGGTACTAGCTATCCAGCGGTCAACTACTTCAACGAGCCATATTTCCTATACCCAATCAGCGCTCTATACGTGATAATCATCATAATTTCAACCATCGGCTGCAGTTTGGTGATTCTAACTATCTGCAGATGCCAATCGCTCAGGAATTCAACAACAAACTTCTTTATATTATCACTAGCAGTTAGTGACTTAATAACAGCGACAGCTGCAATGACACTGGACTTGGATCTCTTATTGCACAATAATAAATGGCAATATAGTGCACTAGTGTGCGAGATATGGGCTACTATATATCTATCTACTGTGCCTATATCAATATTGACCTTACTGGCGGTCGGACTAGACCGATATAAGACCCTAAGCGAYCCAATGAGTAGATTCAGAGAGTACCAATTCATGACGCGAAAAAGAGCGGCCATTGTTATCATAGTAATTTGGATCTATTGCATTGTATTCGCGTCTATTCCTTTTATGGGATGGAAACATCATCCAGTAAGTGTCCGCGAAGGAGAGTGTTTGTTCAACATCACTTATATTTACTCGGCTACAAGTTCACTAATGAACTTTATACTGCCTTTGATTATCACAACGTTCTTGTACGGGAAGATTTACCTGATTGCGCGACGTCATGGCAGTGAAAACTTCTCTCAAAGCATCTGTTACATGCACAAATTACCCAACACAACTGAACAGAAAGCTTTCATGAATAACCTAAAAGCTGTCAGAACTGTCTCCGCGATAGTATGTGGGTTTTTGATCTGTTGGATGCCATTCACAATCCTTAGTATTACAATGTGCTTCTGTAGAGAATGTGTCGAAAATATTCCTGAAAAACTATACGCAAGTTTGTTGTTACTTGGTTACTCAAACTGCGCGCTGAATCCTTTTCTATATTCATTCAAGAACAAAAAGTTTCGAAAGTGTTGTAAGTTGATGTTGCGTTCTCTGTTGCCAAAGCACCGTCCTGCAGTGAGCCGACCTACAGCGTTTGAGCTGCAGGCTGTTTTAAGAAAACATCGTTGCTCTGATGTACTATTTGAACGTACTCACTCGCTTAAGCTGACATCACTTTGTCGGTTCCACAGCGTACCAAATGTGCTCCATTTACCAATGGAGAAGAACCTTGCTGTTAACTGCTAAACAGAGCGACAAAAAAATAAATAAAGATAATAATTAATTAATGACTTAAAATTTTATCGTATACAACAGTTGTAGAGGAATTGAAAAGGTCTAGTAAAGACGAAACTAGTTTTCCTCAAACAAATCTTGTGTTTTCTGTGCGTCGAAGGAGGGATAACAGTTATTTGACATCCTCTAAAATGAAGACTTAAAAACTACTACACATATTAAAGAGAAAGCTAGCGTTCTGAACTCAGTCGCCGCTTCCAATGAAACAGTTGTAGATTTTAACTTGCAAAGATACGCATAGCTTACCTAATAATATAGAAGGTACCTCAGCTTTCAAATACGGACACAACTTTACAATTCACCTATGTAAAAAGACAGAAGAATACCAATTAGCATGAATCATCTTGACCAAATATGGAAAATAATACCAAATAAGGACGTAACTTACCTAATATAGAAATACTTCACAAGATGGAAATAGACTACCCTATATGGGCAGGAATTACATATGGTTAAATTAGTTAGAAAATGTGTCAATTTAGAGTCCAATATAGTTATGTATGAGTCGATAGCTGACTGTTGAATAAAAAAAACATTATATGAACTCAAGGAAGTTCTCTTGAAACTACAGCTTATGTTACAAATTATTTTTGTCAAAACACAGCATAACCTTAATGATATGTATTACCAACAATTCAATGCGAGCTTCGCATAAAGTTTCACAAGATAAAAGGAATGAACAGCTCTTTTGCTGCAATAAATAAATAGTCTAGTGCTAAATAGTTTGAATTATAAGTGTTTTATTTCTTGTTTATCAAATATATCTAAAAACTCCTCATTTTAAGTAAAGAATAAATAATTCTGTAATGAAATTTGTACTACAAGTACTGCATACAGCTATTTCAGAAAGACATTATTTTTGAAAACAATGGATATTGTAAGGAACCYCTTGTAAGGGTGCTTAATGTCGATGAATAATTGCACATTTGAAGCAGCGGTTTCTTTAAGAAACTTAAAGGCCGAGAAAAGCGGAAAACACTGCTTTGCTGCTGTTCAAGTTTGGAGTCGGTGTTTTTCGTTTTACACCTTGCACAAATCATACTGTTAACTTGTCGCGCAACAAAAAACAGGCCGTGAAAAATAAGAAACACTGAAGCTAACCTTGTACAGCAAAAATGTCGAGCGACAAATCGAGTTTTTTTTTGTATCTGGTATACCTTTTTCTTGAAATAACTGTATGAATAGTTGACTGCATCATGTGCAATAATACCATCACCTCACACAATCTGATTAAGACCGACATATACATAGACTTATTCAGTACACTACATGAAAGTTCACTGTATTTCCAAAACTTCAGTTCAGAAAGGTATTCTACAGTGAGAATTCCAACGTATTCCAAATAAGGTAAGATAGCCAAATATGGAATCCATGTTGATGGCAGATTGTGGAGCTGTATTTCAATGAAATGGCCCCCACATTTAGATAAATCCTTCACGAGTATCTGTTAATCCCAAATCTTGATAAATTACCAGCGACAAGTAGAGCAAAATAATCTCAACGAATTTTGCGCCCAAAGTAAATGAGGTATATTACACTTTAAGCCATTTATCCTGACASAACAGAAAGTACCAAGGACGCACATTCACCAACCTAACATCAATAAAAAGATCATTTTTAAATGAGGAGTCATTCAAGAAATCCAAAATAGCGACTCAAAAATGCGTCTTAGAGGAGTGGGATTCTTGTGTATAACTTGTGGCATATAAAACTTACTTTTAGTGGTTCTTTTACATTGACAAGAGTTTTCAGACAGTTATCTATCTCAAGGGATTTTACGTACGATAAGCTATCACCATCATTACAAATCTGAAATACAAAACAAAAATTATTATACATCAATCAAAAACAAGAATAAAATTCAAGATGGCGGTCGTTTTAGTACCAGACGTCTTTCCTCGAAAGAGATCGAGTAAAGTCTGGGTACGAGGAGGGAACTATGTTTGTCAGAATTTGCAATTAAACTTACTAAATTGCCAAGAGCGACAAGACATCGAAATCTAGCCTCGTTATCTGCTTCAGTTTGAAGAATCTTAAAAAAATAAGAGCAGTTAACACGCATTTCAATAAAGATCATTTAAAAGAAGGAACCAGTTTACTCACGGTCACAATGGTTGCTAAACACTGGGTCTGAGCCTCAAGGTCGGGTTGATTTCGTAATAGAACTGAATAACTACAAGAGAAAGACTGCATATTAGAATTTGCCTTTTGGTATCCCATAATTTCTACATGATTCAAGATGGCGGCTGTCTTGGCAGAAATGTTCGTCTATTGGTTTAATTATTAACCAAATATTTACATTACTTACTTTAACAAAACAGTGCATAATGAAACCCTAACATTCTTATTAGGACATAATATCCATGTTTTAACCTGGAACAGTATCTGGAAAGAGAAAAATATAACCAAAATATATGMAATTTAATTCATACCACATCTAAAATAATTTGCAAATGTAATCATTCATAGAGGAACTGGTTTCTTGGTCGAGACTGTACACAGGCACGTCTACTTTTCAAGAACGAACAAGGAGCTTTTAGTGAGATTGGGAGCTATATTGTCAATTTTATTACTCACTTTTTCTCTGTATTTAATCATTGATGAAGAGCCTTCGGTAGATAAAAAGAGATTGGAGAACGTTCTGAATACGAGAAGTACGTTTGATACAGGGCTATCGGTTCTGCAACCAAAAACAATCGAATATTAATATGCAGCATAATGAAAGGTAAATAAAAATGACCTCCATAAAAGAAAGTATCGAAAACACTTAGAATTCGTGTATACATGAAAGTTTTTGTGTCTGATATAAATAAAACATAAAAATATGCAGAGAAAAAACATTTCCCTCTTTGTGTAGATAACTCCAAATGAACAGAAAAACATTTGAGATTGGTGAATAGGACATTAATCATAATCGACAATACCTTGCCAGATCTACCAATCTCTCTATAATGTCTKCTGTGMTGCCACAGAAGTACGACGCYACAGGTTGAAGACGCGTAGCAAGACGAAAAACATCTAAAACTAAAGAAAATAATAGAGTACATTATCAGATGTGCAAATACACTGAAAATCATGATCGACATCATCATTGCATCCCAAACCATCATCATCGTACACGTACCAACATATGCACAGCCTGCGCATGCGCTTCTGGTTAATATCACAGACCGGCAGCAACAAAGGCTTACATACCTGGAAAGATAACATTGTCTGGCCAGTTCAATCCCTTGGTCATGACCTGTAATTGTTTGTCACTTGGAGACTTTTGAGTGTTGTTTTCCGAAACCAGTGTTAAAAGATCTGAAAAAAGCAGGAATTCATTGATCAATTATCTAAATAAAAGGATTTACACCATGATAAACATCTTCGATCATAATAACACTTTGCTTTAGCATAAAAATGTCTTTCTCCGTCTTTTCACAAACGCCGTTTCACAAAACGCCCGCCATCTTGATACCTTTATCAATACCATGATTCATTGCGCCAATTCAACATGACGTCATACATGCAGTAATCTCCTTACCCGATAAATGCTGCAACTCTTCGGTATCGAACTGCTGACTCTGAAATAGAAAATTGTTTCTGTGAATTGCACGTTATTGCGCTTCACGAATAAGTTTCTGTGCGGGTTTGTTTTTGTCGTCGATTAAAAAACTACTCGTGTAACTTAAATAGAAAAATTGCTCGCTTAATGCTCGTAAAATACTCGTGTAAAATACTCAAGTGAGATAAGTGCTCGTAAAATGTTCGTAATGTGGTCGTAAGTGCTCGTAAGTCCTACAAGTAGATGTTCATAGGGTAGGGGAATGTTCGTAACGGAGTCGGAAAAGTTCGTAAGTTTACGATCTCACCTGATGTACTGAAGAGTTGAATTCGTTTATTTTACCAAGAATTGCCTTAGCGTTAGCACTGTCAAATGACACATAATCACTCTGGTGAAAAAAAACAACAACAAAACAATTCAAAACGAGACAAATTAGTTAAAGTGGATGTGTTTGCATGATAGAGACGTTTCACAGGCGAGATTTAAAGCTACCGACAGGATACCAACACAATTTAGGCATAAAGGCCTGTTACCATACCTTGGGGAAGTATTTATTAGTTTTCCTTGCAGTAATTTCTGCTGGTCTGTAACTGTTACTTCCTGAGGTAAATAAGAATTGTTGGAGTCAATCTCGTACCCAGAGTCCACGTAACTTTTGCTCTACGACACGACGCTGTTTTTCGTCGAGCTTGCGCAGTAAGAGGAACAGGGGCGCTGGGTACGAGATTGTGTTGGAGTTTGTACATCTGGTGCAGKSGGTATTCAAGGAGTAAGCTAACAAAAMACTGAATTTTGAGAATATTCACCTGTAAATGGATCAGCAGCTCCTCCTGAACCCAGCCCTGAGCGAGTATTATCTGTATATGTAGGCCTGTAACTTCCTGCACCTGTTGGTTCATCAAATATCTATTATAGACTCTTAGAAATCATGGGGCTCCACCTACAATGTTAGTTCGCTTAGAAATCATGGGGCTCCACCTACAATGTTAGTTCTCTTAGAAATCATGGGGCTCCACCTACAATGTTAGTTCTTAGAAATCATGGAGCTAGCTCCACCTTTATGACATCTCTACAGGGACACAAACTATATATGGTATACTGTACCTGTGAAAGGATCCACYCCACCTCCTCCATTTACAGAGGGCTGGTTCCCAAGTCCTGCCGACGATGCAGAGCCTGGTACATAGCGAGATCCTCCTGAATAAGAAAAGAAAATATAGTGAAGAGGTCAGAAATGAAGAAAGGAGCCTCCCCGATGGCAAGACCTGTAATTTTACTTCATATACACCTGTGAAAGGGTCACTGACAGCAGGAGGGGCTTGGCCTATGGTTACATCTTTGGTGTTTTTGAGAATAAARTCTACAACTTGATCTAAGAACAGCTGACTTAAGTCATTGTCAGCAAGGAATTTGTGAGCAGCAACCCAAGGGTCATCTGAAAACAGAACATGTTTTGAGGTAGTTAGCTTAAATCAATTGAACATGATAGCTCTGATAGTCCTAGTACAAACTGAATGAATACCATATAGGTTGTTTGATTGTTTGTTGTTTGGTCCGAAGTTGGTTGATTTGTTAGCTTGATTAATTGACTGACTGACTTTTGTAGATAAGTGTAGATTGATTGTTTAATTGACTGATTAATTGACTGATGGATTGATTGACTCATTGATTGATAGAATGATTTGATTGATTTATAGATTGATTTATAGATTGATGGATTGATGGATTTATGGTTTGTTTGATTTGTTGAGTAAACTAGTTTCTTCCATATTCATCATGTACCTCCATAGTTGAAAGGTAGTTTTAAGGGTGGTTTGCCTTCCTGAATCTCAACATTGAATATGATGTCATACTCCTGCCAACAATAACAATATTTTAATCAACACGCATTCTAATATCATTCTGAACAAACTGTCAGTATGTAAACTTAACACTGATATACTGATAAATCATCATTTTTTCTGCCTTACCTTTCCTTTATACATTGACTTCTTACTATTAGCTGTCTCTGTACCAGGGGCACCCACCACCTCACCAACCTGTCCAGACACATTCAAAAACATTTAATCTAATATTGTATCCATCTATATTTTGAGTGGATTACAAACAAACACTTTGATAGGTTAKGCTAGAGACATTCTCCCACTCACCTTCTCCCACTTCCCTTCCATTTCATTCCACTAAAAATGAGAAAAAGAAATGAATTAATTAATTTTCATACGATTGATCTCCATACTGTCTTTTTGTTGGTTAATAGTAATAATAACTATTAAACTTATTCTCATTTTGTTAATAATTAATAATTAATAATTATTACCTGATGGCACTCCACAGTCTGTCCCCTTCTGACCATTATTGTTTGGCCACTTCTTTTGCCTTGATTGGTCAAGTTAATGTCAGTAATTAAGTGATAGAACCATAGCGCAAGTGACAACACAGTATAATCTGTAAATAGTTATTGAATACCTGGTCTAAGTAGAGCTTCTGGTCCTGGAAGTTGTTCTAGTTTGATATCACCAATTTGACYGCTATGATATGAAATGGGAAATGTGTTATATTATAAATTAAGCATTCMTTTATTGACTGTTAACTATGTTTTCTTGGTATTTTGTATTATTGTGGATAGTTAGGATTAGTCCATTGCAGAGCAAATGATGCTACTACACATAACTTAGTTTGTCAAATAAATCCTTGTTTTAAAWTCCTTACAGCTCACATAATACACTAGTTTGGAATAACAAGATTTAAGATTACTGCAGACAACCAACCTTGATTGGGCTGGTATGGCCTGACTTGCAACTTCTTCCTCAAACAACTGGATAAAGAATATAGATGAATACAGTAATCAAAAATTATTTATAAATATTGATAAATAAAAATAAATAAATGAATATTTCAGAATGCTCAATGTTCGTTATACTGACATTGATTAATTGGCATTATTTCAAATGATGTGATTCTGACCTTAATTTCCTCTGGTGAAGCAAATCTTTCTGGTTCGCAGGTGAACACACGAGCCACCCCATCACTATTGACAAAAATATAACTTTTACAAATAAATATATCACAAATACTGAATCAAGAACTGATGTTCACATTAAACACCTTTAGTATCTAGATCCACTTGAAACTGATTTTTTTTATAAGTTTATGGGTGCAGTTGTTGTCAATGTGGTTGTAAAAATATATTAAGTATCTTGAAAATATGTACTAATAGTGAACAACATACCTAGATCCCGTCACAATATCACCATTATCAAGACATGCTACACACCAAACAGATTGCGCTGGTAAAGTTATTGTTTGTTTACAATCTCCTCCTACAAAACAACATTAAAAATATCAATATTAATTATAGCAATAATATTTTGTATTTCTTTACAACTTCTTAACAAACTTTCAGGTTTATTTCATACAAGACTGACCTTCCCATATCCGCAGYGTCCTATCTTCCCCGACTGATGCAAATCTTTCTTTGTCATTGGGGAATACTGCTATACTACAATATAACAACAATATTTTATCAAACAATTATTAATATTATCTGACAATCATGATCCTTCTTTTATAGTTAGCAGAGGATAAAAATTTGTGGCTGCTGAATAATGTCATCCTGACATACATGCCCTACACCTGTACCAAACAGAATACAAGATTTATTGCAACAAATTGAGGAAATATTTGCCTTTTTTAAAAGTATCAAATTATAAGACATAGAAGATATTACATGGGCGCGCAGAGATACAGATTTTATCTTCGAGTGTTGAAAAGATCTCTTCCACTATAAATAGAGACACCTCGAATGTGTTATTTTCACTAGTGAAAATATCAACTTTACACAATGGAGAAATATAGGTATTTCATAAGTAATTATATGATAAAGTTGTTTCTCTAATTTGTACCGCTATAAGTATACTTTGAACTAATTTTAATGATAATTATTTTTAAGTTTGGACTACTTTATTTCATGGATTATGTGTTTCAATAATATAACATGGAGATTTAATCATACTTGTAGATAAAACTAGAATGTCCAACATATTCCTGTAGACACTCTCCTGTAGTCATCCATCGCCTGATTGTACTAAAAAAAAAACAATTACAATATATAAATAAAAATAAATAAATGAATATTTCAGAATGCTCAATGTTCGTTATACTGACATTGATTAATTGGCATTATTTCAAATGATGTGATTCTGACCTTAATTTCCTCTGGTGAAGCAAATCTTTCTGGTTCGCAGGTGAACACACGAGCCACCCCATCACTATTGACAAAAATATAACTTTTACAAATAAATATATCACAAATACTGAATCAAGAACTGATGTTCACATTAAACACCTTTAGTATCTAGATCCACTTGAAACTGATTTTTTTTATAAGTTTATGGGTGCAGTTGTTGTCAATGTGGTTGTAAAAATATATTAAGTATCTTGAAAATATGTACTAATAGTGAACAACATACCTAGATCCCGTCACAATATCACCATTATCAAGACATGCTACACACCAAACAGATTGCGCTGGTAAAGTTATTGTTTGTTTACAATCTCCTCCTACAAAACAACATTAAAAATATCAATATTAATTATAGCAATAATATTTTGTATTTCTTTATAATTTCTTAACATACTTTCAGGTTTATTTCATACAAGACTGACCTTCCCATATCCGCAGTGTCCTATCTTCCCCGACTGATGCAAATCTTTCTTTGTCATTGGGGAATACTGCTATACTACAATATAACAACAATATTTTATCAAACAATTATTAATATTATCTGACAATCATGATCCTTCTTTTATAGTTAGCAGAGGATAAAAATTTGTGGCTGCTGAATAATGTCATCCTGACATACATGCCCTACACCTGTACCAAACAGAATACAAGATTTATTGCAACAAATTGAGGAAATATTTGCCTTTTTTAAAAGTATCAAATTATAAGACATAGAAGATATTACATGGGCGCGCAGAGATACAGATTTTATCTTCGAGTGTTGAAAAGATCTCTTCCACTATAAATAGAGACACCTCGAATGTGTTATTTTCACTAGTGAAAATATCAACTTTACACAATGGAGAAATATAGGTATTTCATAAGTAATTATATGATAAAGTTGTTTCTCTAATTTGTACCGCTATAAGTATACTTTGAACTAATTTTAATGATAATTATTTTTAAGTTTGGACTACTTTATTTCATGGATTATGTGTTTCAATAATATAACATGGGGATTTAATCATACTTGTAGATAAAACTAGAATGTCCAACATATTCCTGTAGACACTCTCCTGTAGTCATCCATCGCCTGATTGTACTAAAAAAAAAACAATTACAATATATAATTAAAACTAAAGCCTTTATAACCCAAGACATTGAATGTATTTTCATCTCTCATACCAAAACTTATAAAATATAGAGGGACTAACTTACCAATCATTTGAACAAGACAAGAATTCCAATAAAGATAATATAGCCAGACCTCGTACACAATCAGTATGTCCTGAGAAAGTCTGCTCACAGGAACCAGCACGCCACATCTTAATTTTTCTATCGGCCGACCCTATATTGATGCACAATAATCATGATATTATAAACAGTRTTTTAGAGAGGTTTTTGCAATGCAGGAAATGATGAAAAATAAAGAGAWTATAATGGWTCTGRAAACTAAACTAWTCTCTTTGTTTTCGTCATATCCTTAATCATCATCATCATCATAATGTCATCATGATATTATTGATATGATGAGCAATCTACAGTATAAGCTTATTTTCACACAGTTAGACTTCAGCAGTTAAAAAACCAACCTTACCTGTTAACATGAGTCCATGATCAGGCATCAACTCTACAGCCCAGACAGCAGCCTCATGTCCTTTCAGGGTCATTACACATTTATTGTTAATCCATACTTTTGCTGTGCTGAAAATTAAAAAAAAAATTATTATTATGTAGAAAAAGCTTGCCATTGAAAACAAATATTAATTTACATCTAAATGCTAAAGGTAAAAGAATTTTACACAATTCCTGACTGGTAATAGTTTGTGACATACTTATCCCAAGAGCCAGATATCAGTGTACCAAACTTKCCAGCAACCAAGCTGCAAACGGCACCAGTATGACCAGCCAGTTTAGATAAAGGTTCTAAACATCAGTTAAACATTAMTATGAACCTTGAAACCCACAAATAAACTATTTTTACTATATATAAATACTATTTTTAACACCACTAAATGGTCTTTTGAGAAGCAGTGAACATAGTAACTTTAAGAGGTGCACAATAGTCGAGTTTCGYGATCTCTTTTACGCTGTGTTAGCCTCAATTGTGTGCTAAAATATTCAGAAATGTAGATAAAACTCGTGAGATTTCAAACAATTTCCATTGTCTTCTATACTTCACAGATCTCTTGCTTTTGCACGGGCTGTTGTGAATAAAAGAATTTATTACATGGTTTTGAGGCTAACACAGCGTAAAAGAGAYCGCTAAAAGGGTATATTACAAAACATGTCATGTCGACTAATAAACGATTGGAAATCGTAATAGTGCTTCTAAAACACCACTATACTTGATGATTGCTGCATTTCTTTTGGCGAAGTACCTAATGAATCCAGTGTCCATATAAGGATATTGTTGTCATGTCCGCCAGTTGCTATTAGACCTGCAGAACAAATATGTACAAAAATAACTACTTTTATTAATTAATCTAAGATCATATCACTAATTATAACGATGTCGTTTTACTACTCAGAGGACTAAAATATACAAAGCCCTTTGAGTGGTAAAAATAGTTTGATAAAAGGCCACAAATTTTCTTTCTTTCTCTCCTTTCTCACATGATTTAGTATAATTTCCATTCATAAAAATATGAAAATATCACGACTATCAACAGAAATATTATATTCAATGATTGAATGCATCAATACCAAACACTATATCATTTACGTTTTATAATAAATAGAGGATATTACATGGGCACGCGGAGATATGGATTTTATCTTCGAGTGTTGAAAAGATTTTCAACACGAGAAGATAAAATTCGTAWACCCAAGCGAACATGTAATATTCTATCTATCAATTTTATATGAAAGCAAATTATGTCGTAAAATACCTTTTTTCTTACTTCAATACATTAAGTTTATATAGAGAAACCTCGAATGTGTTATTTTCACTAATGTTATTTTCACTAGTGAAAATATCAATTTTACGAATTGGAGAAATATAGGTATTTCATAGATAATTAAGCTTATATCATAAAAATGTTTATTACAAAGACACTAGACAGTTTAACAATCAATAAGCTTACGTTTTGTACAAAAATATGCCATGTCATTCACAAGTAAGCTTACTATGGGGTGCTATGGCATTGGGAATTTATTTAACGTACTCACCATGCGGGTGCTTATCAGAAGGCGGTAGTGCACAAACAGCCGAGATAAAGTTCTCATGTCCCGCTAAAACATGTCCTTCGGTGTAATGTTGCCCTTCGGGAACCCAAACACGGGTTGTCCTGTCACGACTGGCCGTCAAGATGGCGYCAGCTGGAAATACTGCAGGGCAAACAGCGCGTATATCTAGCTCGTGGCCACGTAAAACTGTACTTAACTTAAAGGCCATAGTATAGAGAAACKTTCAGAAAAATATCGAGTCAAATGGATAGAAATTTAGGCAGAAATAATGAAGTTTTATGACGGAGTTTTCTAAAAATATTTGTGAAGTTGTTCTTTCTGTTTGGGGCAACTCCGCTGACGGCGAGCTCCAGGCTCCACTCTGTTGAAAAATTCCAAAGGAATCCCAGCTACTCTTTGAACTCGCATCACTTTTCTGAGAATCCTAAAAAAATTTTTTATGCAAACAAAGCATTATTTTATCTCGGCTTCTCTCGGCTTTAGAAATCTTGCTAAAATGYCCAAGGATTTATCAAAACGAAAAAGAAAAGGAAAATGTTTGGATAGAAAATCTACAGCTATCACAGAGAATGCATCGGGCAAGAAACTTTGCTCATCAGACATTCGCCGAAATTTTACGATAACGAAGCGAAAACAACCTGACAAAGTTGTTGTCCAAAAGCAACAGCAAATACAAAAATCGAACAGTYMAAGGTAGGCAGCTTTTGAATGTATGTCATTAAAACGCAAAGATCTGTAAGTATCCGAAGTATGGCGATGTTTTTTAAACAATATATTATTTCAGTCGATTGAAATTCTTTAATTCCTTTGAAATTCAAGTACTTTCCTGAAAAAGATTAGCCAAATATATATTCGATAGAAATTTGACTACTGATCCAACATTGAAAGTCTTACTGAGCATAACTTTGATCGAATAATTGTAAACTGATCGAGTCGATATCGATTCCTCAAATGCATATAGAAAAATTATAATATTGCGTGCTGTGAGCACCATGAAAATTCAATTTATGAATATAAAATTTAATGCGGCTCAAAATGTACGGAGTTTTGGGATCGGGATCACGTTTTTAGGCCGTTTTGATCCGGATCAACAGCAAAAAAATATACCTCGTTCAAGCCTGTAAAAATCAAAGTGTCTATATGTCCGGGACGTCCTCCAACAGAGTGTCACGAAAAACTGTACGTTCGGGAGTCAAAATAATTGATTTAAATCACTGGAGAATGTAAATGTTGTCTAATTTAAGATACTTTACTGTATCCAGGTGTAGAATGTCTTTCTTTTGACCGAATTCAGTTACATTCAAAGCTTCTTCGCCGCTCCGTGTACTATACAGTCGACGTGACACTTAAGGAGTTTTTTCCTAGGCAGAATGTCAGGAAACCTATTGACTATTTTTACAATTCCAATACAAGCGAGAATAAATATCCAGAAGCTGATTACGTGTAAATTGTTTATTGTTTTCTATCCTAGGAACGAGGATATTACTGGAATTTTAAGAATAGTCAATATTACATCGTATTTTCAGGCACATTACGCGCGCAAACAAACTCCTTCAGTTAATCAATAAATGCTCTAATGCCACCAACCTTCATTCTTCTATCGTTTATTTTACAGCGCCCGGCATTCAAGTGAAGAGGATGTTTATAAAGATTTCTGCTACCTCACAGAAGAAAAACGTAAACTGTGTTTTCAACAACTTGTACAAGTGAATGCCCTCTTAAAAGAAGAACTTGATGAATACAAACTTTTATTGGGCAACAAATTTCAAGAAATAGGATACATTGAAGGTGAAAAAGAGGCYTTGGATAGWGACGASAATACTACGTTTGATTTGTATCCAGAGAGGGAATWCATTGCTGGCTGYCCTCGTCAAATGCACTTTCGTCTTGCAGGTTCGTATGRACTTGGTTCCCTGGCCACAMACCTTTGAGCATATRCCAGAAAATRTACTTGGGTGCACGCTGRTGCACGTGGGTGGGTAGGGAGGGACTCGAATGAACACGTTTCCGAGGCCGGTTTTCGAAGTACGAAAATCTCTATTTTAAGCTAATTCTAGCTCTATGACGTKGTATGAAAATATATAAAAAGCTGATCAGCCCGGTTAACTTGGAACAAATTATATACGGATTATTTCTGAGAACAGGACTGGAGTACTGAAATGAAAAAGAGCTATAGTATTGATTTATGAAATAATGTTGCAGAATCCCAGTTCCTTCGTCTTTATTCAGAAGAAGATGAAGGCTCCTTTAGTGTCACCAAAGTCGAGTACGTAGTTAATCCAGTGCTGAACAAACGATTTCGCGAGGCGCAGGCGAGAATTGGAGCAACAAGAGGAGAAGAYTATTCCCACCCTGTCCTCGCGTTTCATGGCACAAGTGAAGAAAGCATGCGATCTATTGTCAATATGGGCTTTCGAATGCCTGGTGAACCAGACTTTAAGCAAGCCAATGATAGTGGTAGGTTCCTGTCAACAAACAATTAATTTGAGGTCTTTGTTATAGAGTGCACGCCACAAAACCGTGAAATAATCCTTAACAATCAACAACTAATAAGGTTTAGTTATCAACTAACTAAGAATAGTCAACTTTAGATATTTTGGTTCGATGACTATGTACAAAAGAACGCACACGAGGCTCCGGGGAAACAATGGATAATCTTGATTTATTCTTTTATTTCCCCGGAGCCTCGTCTGCAATTCTTTTGTGCATGGTCACTGAACCAAAATATCTAAAGTCGACTATTCACTGGGACATGAACACAATGCCAGAAAGGTAATTGTCTTTGAATTCTTAGCTGATAACTAAATCTTACTAGGCGCTATAATTAGTTAAGAATTGTTTCACACTTACATGACATGCACTCTATAGTCAAGCCATTTTTTTACCAAAAACATTTTGGCTCTTTTCAAAGGAAAATCTGTAACAATGGTGTATTTTATACTCTTAGGTTGGTATGGGAGTGGCATATACCTGAGCGAATACCCCTCCTATGCAAGAGAATACATGAGACGAGGTGGCGAATCGTCCAAGCTACTTCTCTGTCAAGTGCTAGTTGGTAAAGTTTTCCACTGCAACCAAAGAATCGATGGAGAAGGCCTTCAAGAAGGATTTGATTCTCATCTCTCTCCTGAGATGCATCAGATAATTGTTTTTAATTCTGATCACGTATTACCTTGTTATATTGTTCACTTCGAAGAATGTAATGGAGATTATAGATATAGTTAATGACTGAATGTCACGTGATATAGCACACATGGAACACTTCTAAGGGTGGAAATATATGACCGGAGATCAGACTCAGGAATGACAACTTAAAGGAAATTTGATATTGAATATGCTCGTTTTATACTGAGTTACATAGACTCAAATACAATTTATCATTCTCCAATACACCATGCACTCAAAATAGGTAAATTTATTCATGCAAAATTTCAAAGTGTGTGCAGTCCAATTTATAATCAAGAATTCGCTAGCGCTATTCGGATTAGGCTAGCATAGCAGAATTTTTAATGCTTCGTTTCAGATTCAGTTGCAAAAGGTTTTTATTGATAAACGTTTCTGTACATTTTCTGTAAATTGTCAGGAAGATAATATGCAATGTATAAAGTCCAATTGAAATATGAATTATATTAGATATCACTGTAGGCTGGTTACTCTGGAATAACAATACTATTGTTCAAACATCAAAAGGTGGCTCTGTTTCCGCTCTTGTTAAAGTTTATGTACTGATTAATCATCTTCTCGCATTAATTTTTTTTCTTAMGCTCAYTCCATCTCGTATTCGAGCATTTCCATTTCTTCACTGATTTAATAAAAGAGACCATTGCTCACTTGAACTCTTATCATATATTTGAAAAAACTGAATCCAGGCGTGACACAATTTATTTTCCCCGCTTTCACTCTTTTTTGAGATTGCAAATCACGTGCGCGCTTTCAATTTCAATTTCGCCCTATACACGAAATACGAATTTGCTCTWCTATCAAATAAAAATGATTGAATAAAATGTTTAACTGAAAAAAAATATTTACTCCTTTACTAGACTCTCTTAGTGTTGCGAATCTTATATTAAGGACCGCAAATGTAATAGTTTCATTCTCTTTTTCAAGGACCTTGTCAAGCGAGAGAGAGAGTTGAAAACAAAATTAGTACTTGAACTATTATAACTACTTATATGTTGAAGTTCAGTCTAATTGCTACTTAAAACCGCGTGATTTTTGGAGTGTTAAGTTAATTTTTTGCGATACTCGAGTCGTTTCCTGTTGAGTCTGAAAAGGCCGGGCGTTCATTAGACCGGCTGGAGACGTGCAAAGAAAGACACTTTCGTTCTAATAAGTGGATTTACGTTGAAAAACGTGGTCTCTTGTCAGAGCTTTCTATTTCATTAAGTGTTTTAAACTGAAGAACTTCTATAAAAAGAAATAGAAAGAAATAGCTGCGTCACTTGTTGGTGAACAGTTTGCATCATGAAGCTCACTCTCGCATTGCTGTTTCTTATTGGAGTCGCTGTTGTAGTCGGAGCAGGCAATCCAGTCGAAGATGAAACTCCTGATATAGACGATGAGGGTACTAAAGAAGATGTTGGTGTAGACGATAACGAGCTGGATGGTGAGAGCTTTTGTTAATGAGACAGGAATCATGCTATATATATTATGCCTATTTGCGGCAAGTCCCTCACGCACTTGAAAACTCTTTCTGGAACTATTCTCATTTTTTATTGATTTTTGTTTGCTACATCACTGGCAAGCAGTCTATCTCGACAACAGTATAATAGTATTTTGGGTAGCCAAACTTAGCCTTCTATGCAAACATATGTGTGTATCTAGTATCTGTAGTATACAATTTTGATTGATAAATCGTGTTAAAAAGATTCTTTCGTTTAGCGTCGGAGTACGAAGATGAAAATCCAGATGAAGATCAAGATGAGAGCAATGAGTCAGAAGACGAACCYGAGGGTAATTAATGCCTTTAACTGGCATATCACGTGACTGAATTTTCACTTAAACAACAAACCGATAGAAATATACTCCATTTATTTAATAGTACCTTGCAGAGTTTCCAAATCACACGTGTTCCTCTGTCAGTAGAGTCATATTATCAAGATTGACATCTATCAATCATTTCGAATTGTTATTCGTACTTTGTAGATAACGCACTGTTGGATGATGAACCGCGACAAGACGCTCAAGAAACGGAAAATGGTGAGACAAAAACGGCTGTACTTGACAAAAGCAACATTTTTTTAAAAAAAACGAGGCTCTTTTTCCAGACCCAGAAAAGAGGGCAGTCATACGTAACAGATGCACAACAACTCRTCGTGGTAGAATAACAACAAAGCGCTGCTGCAAGATCTGTTTGAAGAAGAGATGCTACAAGAGAAAGTGTGGCAGGAAATGTAAGTTCTTGGTGTTTGGCTGCAAGAGGAGGTGCTGGCGAGAAAGGTCCACTTGTTATAAATGTAGCAGTTGTAGAATAACTGAGTCTAGAAAAGGCTAGATAAAAAGATCAGGGTCGTTATTGTTACCATTTTTAGGTTGACTATATACTATCGATCTTTTTGACAGAATAAAAGCGTGGTTCCATGTTTGTGAGCCTGATGAAACGCAAACTAATGTGAATTTACTCTCCTATAGCAAAGGAAAATTTTGACTTACTGACTTACAATGAAAATACAGGGTGCCTGCAGTTGTGCAGTTATACAGCAATGGTTTAAAAACATCAGTTTCTTCAAATAAATTCCTGAGTCTTCAAATTTTATTTTTATTTCACATGAAAGAACATAACTGACTACTATCAAATGTTGCCTCGCATTCTTTGTATCAATTAGCCTGAAAAGAGAAACAGAGCAMATTAAATCAATGTCTTCTAAGTAATCTTGCACACAGMGATGCACAAGTCAATGAATACCGCRGACAAATAGACRAGARTAYCCTTCATGGGCTCRAGATTGTTTCCRGTAAACTGGAGATAAGTAACGCGAATGGCCACTGAATGGAATGTTAAGCTACAATAATTAATCAATGTTATACTTACAAGCTTGGCATGTTTTCCTGCAGACCGCCTTGATGTGGGCAAGGGAACACGAGCCCTTGTAAAACCTGCACCTCGAGCCCCATCGGTCAGTGCAACCACCTGATATAAAAACATTTACAGAATAATTGAAACTGAATTCAGAAGGTATGGGTCCAAGTTTTGTGTGGGACAGAAACGCATGCCCCTACACCCTCTCCCTGTGGTCTATTGTTGTGTAGGGCTAATTACATTCAAATAAATGATATTTCGTCTTTTATTACCTGGTGCAGCAGTTGTTGGCTGTGGTGGTGGTGGTGACTCAGGAGGGGTGGGCTGGGGAGGTGTTGGTCGACCAGTAGGGGGTGATGGTCCTATGGAACATTTGTTGAGCAATAGTACTACAGCAATTTATACCACCTCTCCCCCCTATATCTCCGTTAAGAACTCTGCCTTATTACAATAACTACTTTTAAAAAACGTTTGTGCACAAACAAGGAATTAATAAGTACATATAACTGTTCTATAATTAATTTTCCACCAGTTTTCATACGTTTACATACTACATACCCTGATCAATATTCCGGTTGATCCAACTCATGTAGGTGAAGACACGACTAAACACGGTGTAAGCAGTCGTTGGACAATTCCTCTTGCCAAAGCTTACAGCACCGTGTAAAACCCAACGCCCTTCTTCCTCACACACCAAGGGTCCGCCGCTGTCTCCGTTGCACCCCCCTGACGCCCCCTGTCGTCCTTCGCCTGCACAAAGGTGGTAGGGTTCTTGAACGTTGTATTTCAATCGACACTGTCTTTGAGAGACGACTGGAAGTGCAGTCTGCTGTAGAATTTTGGCGGCTTGATTTTTTTCAGTAACACCCCAACCTTTATATAGTACATAACGTGAAATAGTTATTAATGATACGATCAATGCGATGAAGGACTAGACTCTAGTTATGTATCATTAAAAATCACAAGAAATCAAAATCAAAATCACTAGAAGAATCGACGGAACTCAAACTCGGCACTAGATGAATGCTCTGTACGTAATTTTCACAATGAAATATGTCGACATGATTTCGAAATTGATAAATGACAGAACGAAAGAAATTGAGTTTGAAACGCACAAAGGACTCTGAAAAAGCCGCGTGCAAAGGCAATTACAAAGATGTATGTATGAGAGTGGTGCGTTCAAATATATCATATTCTGTCAGATCATGGTTAAAACCAACAAACACCTTTCTAAGCAAAAGTATTCCCTCGTTATTCTTTCTGGTTCTTTTTTTGAATGAAAAACTTATAATTGGTGTACATCTACTGACCAGTGAGGTAGCACTTGGCTCCGACAGTTGCGTGTTTGGTCGGCAGGCAGGCCACGTTGACCTGGTYACTTAAAGCAACAGGTTTGTAGAGCTGGATAAGAGCGATGTCGTTGTTTAATGTTCTTGGAGAATAGTTATGATGGATAATCAACATTTTGACTCGATGGCTTTTCTGAATACTAGAAGGTCTGTGTCTGTTATGCGCACCTAGAGAAATATGGAAGGAAATCATAAAAAGGACATCAAGGGAGAAGGAGAATTTGCTCGCTGTTTCGCAGCCACATTTTGGTCAAAAACCACCATATTTAAATCAACTGAAATTGTAAAAATTTGCTAAAATAATCATCTGAACTCCCCAATTCCCATTTTTCATTTTTTCCTTCACATTATTCACGTCTCAGAACTAAGCCAAAATTTCATGGATCCTGCCTTACAATATTATTAAATGGCCTTGGTACAATGTCATCCTTTCAGCAACTACCCTAGATAAGCCCCCGAAGCCAATCTACTCACCCACAACTACTCTATATACCGCTTTGTTAGGGTTTTTGAAGACACAGTGTGCAGCAGTYAGCACCCAGTCTGGTCGTATTAGCGTGCCACCACACGAATGAAAACCATTCTTTTGTAAAGACACTTGCCATGGCCATGAGTGTGGTGCAGCGTCGTCGCCATTGATGACCCGAGAACCGGCGGGACGCCTCCCACAACCTATAATAAAAAAGATRTATGTGAATCAAGATATTTAAAAAGAGAAGAGAAAAACGTTTTTTATTAATATTTTGCGCGAGTAAATCAGCCAATTAAAATGAATGGCAATGGAATGGGAAAACTGGAAGAGAAAAAAAGTAAAAAAATTGACTTCGTTATGAGAAATAGATTATGAATTGTACAGAAACTTGTCACATGGTAGATTAAATKTTAACTCATGACATTTCTTTCTTACCTGAAACGAGCACTGGAAGAACAACAAGTAATGTCCAAGCTATCATCATCGAAAAGGTGAATGTCTGATACACGCGCGCATCTACGGTCATGATATACATGGACTACTGCGCTCTTTGAATGTCTGTATTCTCACCTTGTAGGATGGTTTGCTTAGCTGTGTCAAAAATCTTCGTTTCTTTACACACAAGAGTAAAGTCTGCTAAGCTAAGCTCATATTGTGACAAACCGATGTTTCAACAGATGTACACGTGTTAAGATTTGTGTGTACAAGAGCCGAGACTTCAGATAGAAAACTAGAAGAAACACTAAGCAAATGTTTGCTGGCTTTCTCCTCGATGGTATATACTGTCAAGTTAAATTTACGTACGCGCGCCGCGTTGACTATTAAATCAGAAAGTGTGTTAGATGACAGACATTTGATAAGAAAAACTATAATACATTACTTATTTCCTTTAATGTTTTTGATTAATTTTTGTATGACAGATACATGTCACTTCCAAGTTTAAGCTGAGTTAGCCTGAAAAATGAAACAAACGACCAGTCAGTCAAGTACTGTCAGCCATAACGACAGTTGATGGTAATTCAATTAAGTTACCGGTAGCCTGCCTAGCCAGGTTAAGCAGATAGGTTTACCGGGAGATTATTAGTAACGTGAATGACACTGAATGGAAGCTAATTACTTACAAGCTTGGCATGTTTTCCTGCAGACCGCCTTGATGTGGCCAAGRGAACACGAGCCCTTGTAAAACCTACACCTCGAGCCCCATCGGTCAGTGCAACCGCCTGATATAAAAACATTAAAAAACACCATAATATGGATTATTTTGCCAATAACGCAGGATTAGGTTGGGGAATTTGTTACAAATGAAGCAGCTTTCCTTAGATTAACTGTGATTTAATAGGCTTTTGAAATTTTTCAATTGAGAGTTGATTAGAAACCTAGCAAAGCGGACTACTACAACTACAAATAAAAAGATCGACAAGGACAGTAACAACAACAACGGCAAATAACAACAACACCTATTAGGCATGTGATGGGAAGTTGACAGGGAGATATGTACCTGGTGGAGATGTAGGTGGTCGCGGAGGAGGCGTATCGGGTGAGGGAGTCGTCTCTGGAACAGGCGGGGTGGGTCGTCCGCTCGGTAATGGACCTATCAAGGAAATATAATGAATCCAGATACTATTATAGTCATTGACTTGATGAAACCAAAGTATACCCAATAGGAAAGAGAGTACTGTTCAGAAAACAAAGATGTATATGTCTCGGAATAATGAAGTGATTGAGCACTTAAAATATCTACAAGACATTACATTATGGTTGATTCTCCATCTTATAATACGAGAGTAATTACAACATATATAATTCCAAACAGATACAAGAGACATACCTATTCCTAAGTAACCATTAATCCAGTCTATGTAAGTGAAGACCCTTGCAAAAACAGTGTAGTAAGCCGAGCCACAATACTTCAAGCCATAACTAACAGCGCCATGTAGAACCCATCGACCACCTTCCTCGCACACTAAGGGGCCACCACTGTCTCCCTGGCAACCCCCTGTAGTACCCCACTTTGCTTCGCCTGCACATAGATGTGGCTTAAATTCAACTTTCCATTTCTTTCTACAGGTTTCTTGTGAAACCGGGGGGAGTACAGCTTGCTGAAGATAGTCTGCTGCAGCACCGTTTTCCATTCGACCCCATCCTGTAGTAGGTTTAGAATTGATAGAGGAAATGAGATACAAAAATAATGGAAAAAATAAATGACACCCTCGTGCATTTTTTCTCTAATCTTTGGTGCTTAATATTTATAAGTAATACCTGTGATGTAGCACTTGGATCCTAGAGTCACGTGTTTAGTGGGTAGACAAGCCAAGTTAACCTTGTCACTGAGAGCAGCCGGCTTACTGAGTTCAATCAGAGCGATATCGTTAAATACACCTCTCTTGTTCTTATACTCKGGATGCAYAATRATYCTTTTGATGGGAAGACTTTGTTGAACGCTGGTCGTTCCTTGTCTCCTGTGGGCCCCTAAAGAGAGTACGACAGAACCTCGTTAATCCGGTCATCGAAGGAAAAACGAAAAGTGCCCGTATTAACGGGATGCCTGTGTCTCGCCGGGACATGAAGATCTGGCCGCTATAACCGGGTGGTCGTAAGACGGGGTTTATACAGTGTCCATGCAGTACCGCCGTAGATGCCCCAAATGTGTATACCGTAAAATGACTGGCACTTTAACTAATACCCTTATATTAAAATAGCTTGTGTTATCCGGTACTGTAGATGCACCGTATGTATATACGAGAAATGTCATCTTACCTACTCTTACACTAAATTGGCTTGGGTCATCTGGGTTCTTTGCAACACAGTGTGCAGCGGTCACTACCCAATCTGGACGAATCAAAGTCCCGCCGCAGATGTGGTACTGCTTGGGTCCAGAACGAAGAGATATTTGCCATGGCCAAGCATKGGGTGCSGMATTATCACCATTCATGACCCGCGAGCCCGCGGGACGTTTCCCGCAACCTGGAGAAAACCAAAGAGTTTTATTTAGMTGGGAAGGGAAAATGGGATAAACTTTCAAGAAATCGCCACAGGAACTGAACAGGATTGGAACGTTATCTGATTCATTCAAAGGCTCCGCATTAAAATATTAACACTTTGGTCCGAAAGGGTTGTCTTCCACGGAAAAATAATTATGGATTACTGCATGTGCAAGAGTATAAGAATAGTATAGAATAATTGCTTGATGCTAAACGTTCCTTCGTTATTACCGATAAGTCCCCTTCTTTGTCATCCCATAAGTACTATTAGTAAACTATTAGTGTATTGCTTCTGAGGCTGTGGCATGACTATACAATACCACTAACATGGGATCTCTTTCAGCTTTACNTTTTTGAATGACATGATCTTGCGCTCGTCAACAATTTAAGGAACTTATGAGAAACATAAGATTAATAAAATTGTAATACTGATTTATAAAACAAGCATTTTATTCCCCTATAGAAGAAAAAATTCAATCTTATCGTACAAATTCATCTTATTTTATTTGATCATTTCTTACTAGATTACCATTTCACATTTTTTAAAATCGAATAAATATCATTTAATTTTTCAGCTACGGAACTCTTAGAATACATTTTCTAGGGGTAGCTTATAGATATGACATTTTACTGTGAAAAATCACATATTTCTGTAAGGAATCACCTCATAAATGATGTACTTTCGTCATTCGATAAAAAAGAGTTGTTCATAATTGAACGGTCAAATTTAAATCACCGCAGTATATCAAAGGGTTGCTGTGTACTTTTTTCTTAATTTTTTGTTGTTCAAACAGTGTTAAGTTCACACATTCAAACCGCTTCAAAAGTGCATTTTACACTCAGACAATCAACAATTTTTAACCCTTGTGTGAAGCCCCCATTCTGGATGAATACTGAAATGTCGTCCAATGAATTTATGGGGTTGGGTAAACATAGCGCTTTTATTTGCTACCCCGTGGTTGTAGTTGTACACAGGCAAATGATGCCAGGTCTGGTAGGAGCGTCGTACTCTTGATGGAAGTCTTGGGTGTTGGTAAAAAGAACGGTTGGCAAGATTTGGTTCTTTTTTATGGGTTGCTGCCTTGCTTCKGAAAGGTGKCTTGTCTCTCCTGGAAAGAACACAAAATTCAAAATGATATTCAAACTAGTATATTGAGTATGATTGTAGACGTAAAAACAACCTACTGTACTTACTGGGCTAGAGTCTCTAAAGTTTCATTGATTCTATCACCATCACAGTAATGACAATTCCCTTCTGTATGAGTATGGTATTTCTGCAACGGTGCCTTCATAAACTCTGTCTTTGTTCCAGCCAATGTGGAGAAAAATTTAAGGGCAACCTCACGTTCTGGAAACAAATGATTTCATTGTTAAACCAGAGTTAGTAGAGGAGACTACTAACTCTGGTTAAACTATGGAATTTATTAAATTATAATACTTATAATTACTATCAATATTATCAATATTGCAAAACAATAGTTCTGCACTTTAATCACTACCAAATATGGTTGATAACAGTCCATGAAGTAAAGAACTTGTATTGAATTAAGTATGCAATATTCCCCATGCCTACCCTTGTCAGTAGCTGTTGTTAACCACTTATCTACAGCCTCCACAATGCTTGAATTAGATGCCTAAAATTAATGAAAGTAGTATTTTCAATAATTGAATGTCAAACTGCAATAGCCTGTCGTGAGTATCAGTCTCTCTCCTCAAGGGGAATTGGGACTGAGTCACTCCATCCCAATCCCCTTTGAGTGAGCCTGACAAACAGGCTAAATCTGCAGTTACAAAGTGCAATCTTTCAAAATGATGGGTTGGCTAACACTACAACATAAGCAGCAAGCAGAAGAAATGAAATTTCTATGGGTGAACCTAGAGAAAACAAGCAAAATATATATAGAAAATGAATTTTTTCCACTTCCTTATGTTTCTTCTTGCAATTGTGTTAAAAAAATTATCTGTGGCAATGGGCAAAACATATGCATAACATTTTCATTATGAACAGCTATAAATGAGCTTCTGTTTGTGCTTCTCCTTATGTGTGAAGCCACCATACTTGATGCAAAATCTTCCCTCACCTTGCTATTGCCTTTTTCAGCTTCAGACATGATTTTATTGAGAACTTTTCTCCCTGAAGAGATTATCAATAACAAAAATTTATTCATTTAGCTGCCAAAAGTGTAATAAATTTTATTGGCATTTATTATAACTCTTGAAATGTTCATCAAATGTAAATAAATTCAATTAAATTCTTGTTGTTTGAACAGGGCTAATATTAAAGATTTCAATGTATTACCTTGAGCTGACATTGTAAGCTTTTCTCTAGACAATGGAGGGGTGATAATCTCTTTTCTGTCCTCACCATTTGCTTGTATCTGCACAGATACGAAAAAAACATTTATTTGTAAGATAAAACTCATTGAAACAATGGATAGAATGCATACATGGGCCCTAAAAAATTGATGAAAGTTGATCAACTGAGAACAGAAAAACTAGGTACCTTTGGTAGAGATGGCTTTAGTTTGGTCAATGGTGACTTCCTGGTCGACCGCACAGAACCAAGTCTTGGTACTGTAAAACAAATAAATTCAACTTTAATTAATGCAAAATATTGGGTTAAATTATGTTCAGCATAAAATATTGACAATCTACTTTTTGAGATATTATTAGTTTGAATGTCTTTTTTTAAGCCATTCCTACTCATTTACTGTTGTTTTATTAAACAGTTACATGGRCCGTGGAGCARGGGGGGCTGGTGGGCTACAGTCYCCCCAAYAATTTTTCYGACATTTTGAWTTTTCTTAAATAAAGAARCCAAGAGCCTCCTTATGAAATTTCACCATATATATTCTATAAAAATTGAYGTGTAAAAACTGAGCRTGAATAATTGAAATTGAAGCTTTTTTRAAGTCTTTGGGATTTATTGATAATGTCGCTGACTGTGATAACGCCTCAAAACACTGGAAATGACATTTCYGAGAGTTAAGATTTCAAAAATATTTCCAATTAACCCCCCTAGTACCTCCTCGCCGCTAGCCCCCCCAAACAAATTCACGCTCTGTGGTCCCTGAGTTATCAAAGGCTGRCACTTACACTGGTCATTGTTCAAATCAAYCGGGTCACGTTTTCCAGCRGATTTCAAAGTCATTCCAGAAAACCTTGAACACAAGACTTGTCTTTCTTCATCTTTAGATAAAATACCTGAAATATATGTAGATATATAGACACTAATTAAGACTAATGAGAAATTTGACAAATAAGAAAAATTTGTTTTAAAAAGATTTCTTCATATATCAATGTGTTTGTGTGCAGCATTTCTTGGTTTGTTGTCTGTAAAGTTTCAAACGACTCTAAAAATGAATATTCGCAAGTCTAATACAACTACTGTAGTATGTGTTAAGTGGGTCTATTAGCCTTAAAGAGCCCTTCAACACAACTGTAGTTCACCAAGTACTTGTATATACAATGTGCTAACTACCTTTCACACCTGAATTGAACTTTTCTGATATACCAAATTGAGCAATTTAGAGAACTCTAATGTTTTCTTCTATGGAGCTCTACATTTTATACCAATTACCTCTTTCTGAGTCCAGATTACTTGGTTAAATGCAATTTAACAGGTTCACAATATAAATTTCAATNGAGATGAGAGAAACAGAGGAATACAAGGATCCAAAGTACTGGGCTGCCTTCTTTCTCATTGGTGACGACGTCACCATAACTGTATAATTGATTAATAGCTGGTAATGGTCCTTTATTCTAATGACGTTGGCAAGGTTTTACCATGGGTTTATTGAAAGTAGAAACAGAAAGGGTTTTCAATTATTTCCCAGGCACGTGTTTTATCATGTGTAGCCATCTCATTTAATGCTTTTCCAACTATCTCGACTATCGATAGCGTAGAATTGAATGAAGCTTTGTCCTCGGTTCCTTTTATGAGACATCCGCCATCTTGATTTCATCAATACCATGATGCAATTCGCACACATGACGTCATTAGGCTAGAAGTCCATTGTGATTTGAACAGTGCATGCAGAAAATCCAGCTCCCATTAACAATACGGCTGGTTTTAAGTATAAAAAGGAAAATTAGGCATGAAATAGCCGCATCCAGATTGTAGTTTGTTAATATCATGACAGGGCACTTAGATGATCCATTTAGAACTAGAATTGATGTAGATTTTAGTGACATGACATAATAGTCATGATTTGAGAACCCTATGGTTGTAGTACCTGTTTAGCAGCGCTCGGCAGAGGTGCTGGCCTGGGTTGTTCAAAGCTCGAACCTTAGCACCAATCCTGAGTTAACTCTTAATATAACCTATGGAGATTACTGTTGACCAACGCTTATCGGGAAAGCACATTGTTATTGTAATCTTTTGTTCAATGTTCAAAATTCAAATTATTCAACGTTTGTTTGCTCGGCTAGTTTGGGTTACAATCTGACAATGGTCAGTTGCAGGATGATTTTTCAAATGGGGTTGTATTACTAGCTTCAACGCATTATAAGCATATTTCAAGCGTTCAGCTGCATTCTGTTGTTCTTGCTCTTTCTTGTCTTGTGGGAAGACATGAAGTCCCTTGTCGGAATTTGATATTGATAAAGCGTAGGAACCCGGGAGGAAGGCTATCTGTTCTTGAGTCTCCAATGAGATCTATAAGATCCATAGCAAGAAAATAGCCTATTTATCTACGTAAAATATACTAAAATCGATGTTTTAGCCTGTGCGCGCTTTTCTAGAGAGACATGTTGCAAGGTTTTAGTGTTCGGTAAGCCACTCCGTTGTCAATGGCAACCAGCCTCATTTTAAAAAGCACATTGTTATTGTAATCTTTTGTTCAATATAATTATCGCTTTAAATCATGATAAAGGATTAGCACTGTCTGATCATTAGCTTAATGGTAGGACTTATTAACTGAACGTTCAATATGGGGAAGAAATATTCCAGTTCTAGCAAGGTAAAGTAGGTCAGACTACCAGCTCCCCCGTATATTAATAAAACTGCTCAGAGGTCAAAGTGACGGATTAAAGTCAAAATCAAGATAAAATTATATAGAAAAAGAAAAGTTGCTAGTTTTCCAAAAATATTAAAATTTTGTATTTTGGTAATGCCTTGGGATTTTTCAAATTCAAACTCATTATTCACCGTTGCCTTCGCAAGACAACTGCGCACCAGGACCACTGACCGTGTACAATTTYAACCAATCACAGACCGAGACTAAGTTTCTGTATATAAGCAATAGTTAGGTTGCGTCCTTTCGTTTTTATCGGCGCTTCATAACATCATTCTAGCGAAATTTTGTTCAATAACGTTCAAAGGACTATCTACTTTTGGTTCGACTTCGGGTCAACAGATAACACAGACGTTTTGTAGGCCAACTGGAGACTGTAGACTCGAAAGATTCAAGGTAAATCGCAACAATAACTTCCGAAGCCGCAATAACTTAGCTTCTAATCCACTAGACTAGAAATGTGTAGTTATTATTAGTAAATTTCACATTTTCTTCGACGGAAAAAGCGATCTTAATGCATAAAATGGAAGTTTAGAAAATTTTAAGACTATTGCTAATGTGCTTATAAACGTTCGAGTATGTGGTTTTTAAGACTCAAACAGGAAGTACGATCTCGACCATTTACGAATGAAAACACACATCGTAAGTCAAAAAGGACGACAAAATCACAAATAAGAAGGATTAGACTTAATTTTCAAGGTTAAAAATAGATTATAATCTAGAGGAATAATACAAATATCGTTGTAGAAAATGACCTAATTTTGAGGAGATTTGGCCGAGCGAATAGGCCTGGAGCCGACTTCTCTTCCCGACAATAGGACTGTTCGTTTCGAGCGTTAAAAGTACTTGTGCAAATTGATCAGAGGACTTTCATATATTTTTTCGGGATACATATTGTGTAGATTTTAAAACATTCGGAAAATAATATCTTTCGCATCACTCGTCTTTGAAAAGACATTCTCATATACTATTTAATTAATTAATTATTCATGAGGTATCCAGCCAATCCCTGATTGTAATTTGTACCACGTGCAGTAACTGGAAACCAGAGGAAATTACTCCTACCCTGCATCCAGTTACTTCTACCCTTTTTCAAACTACTACTAGCTATTAGTATAAACATATTAATGGTCTATCCCTCATACTGCGCTGTGATTGGCTACTCTACTAATTTGTGATAGACCACTTGCGGGAAAAATCAATCTCATTAATAAATTATTTTAAGGATATTTCAATTTGTTTTGATTATTTGACCGATTAGTATGTTTATACTAAAACAATTAGACCTCTCGGTCTCGTGGACTACAAGCTAGACGCGGACTCGGCCTCATGGGCTATTAGCTCGTAGTCCACTCGACCTCGAGGTCTAATTGTTAAATAGCAATCAAAGTATTAGAAATAATTGAAAATAGATCTTTGATATATAAAGATATGATTTTGAGGACCGCATGGCACTATGATAAACATGATATAGAAATAAAAGAAAGTTATAGTGCTTAGAAGAAGGTTATTCNCTGTTGTTCTTGCTCTTTCTTGTCTTGTGGGAAGACATGAAGTCCCTTGTCGGAATTTGATATTGATAAAGCGTAGGAACCCGGGAGGAAGGCTATCTGTTCTTGAGTCTCCAATGAGATCTATAAGATCCATAGCAAGAAAATAGCCTATTTATCTACGTAAAATATACTAAAATCGATGTTTTAGCCTGTGCGCGCTTTTCTAGAGAGACATGTTGCAAGGTTTTAGTGTTCGGTAAGCCACTCCGTTGTCAATGGCAACCAGCCTCATTTTAAAAAGCACATTGTTATTGTAATCTTTTGTTCAATATAATTATCGCTTTAAATCATGACAAAGGATTAGCACTGTCTGATCATTAGCTTAATGGCTGGACTTATTAACTGGACGTTCAATATGAGGAAGAAATATTTCAGTTCTAGTATCAGGTAAAGTAGGTAAGACCACGGGCTGCCCGAGCTCCCCCCAATAATGAAACTGCTCAGACGTCAAAATTACGGATTTAAGTTAAAATCATGATATATAGAAAAAGAAAAGTTGCAAGTTTCCTGAACATTTTGTATTTGGGTCATAGCCTATTGCGATTTTCAAAATTCAAATTCATTATTCACCGTTGTTTTCGTAGTCTCCTCGCAGCCGTGTTTAGTTTCGGTCACGCAACCTGTCCTGCGTGACGCGTGACCGAAACTAAACACGGCTGCGAGGAGACTATTGTTTTCGCCAGCCTACCAGAAAACCCCCCTGAGGGAGCACTGACCATGTACAATTGTAACCAATCAGAGATCGAGACTAAGATCGAGATGGTATATGCAGTAGTTGTTAGGTGTGTTGAGCGTTCTTTCGTTTTCGTTTTCGGCGCTTCATAACATCATTCTTTTGAAATTTTATCGAAACGTTCAAAGGACTATCTACTTTTGGTWCTGCRTCGGKTCAACAGATAACACAGACGTTTATTAGGCCRACTGGAGAYTGCAGACTCGAAAGATTCAAGGTAAATCACAACAGTAGCTTCCGYAACTCCGCAATAATTTWGCTTCTAATCCACTAGGACTAGAAATGTATACTTATTATWAGTAAATTTCACACTTTCTTCGACGGAAAAAGCGATCTTTATGCATARAATGCAAGTTTAGAAAATTTTAAGACTATTGCTGATCTTGCTTATAAACGTTTGAGTATGTGGTTTTAAGACTCAAACAGGAAGTACGATCGCGATCATTTACGAATAAAATAACACATCGTAAGGCAAAAATGACCAAAAAATCATAAATAATACGAGTCAGACTTAATTTCCAAGTTTAAAAATAGATCACAATGTAGAAAAAAATACAAATATCGTTGTAGAAAATGATTTGAGAAGATTTGTCCGGGTGGAGTAGCCCTGAGCCGAGCCGCTCTTCCAGACAATAGGATTGTGCGTTTAAGTAAATAAGTTTCATTGTGAAAACTGGTGAGAACCGAAACTTGAAATCTGAAATAAATTCTTAAAAATAATAATCCATTTTTGGTCTATTTAGAATCTACAATTTAAAACTAGTTCACTTAATTTCAGCAACCATGGAGGACAAAAGAAGAGGAGAAGGAATTGAGTGTCAAAAATTAGCGAATTCCTTCAATTCATCAGGAGAATATGACAAAGCAATTGAATGTCTGGAAAAGAGCCTTGACATTTTTAAAGAGATTTTTGACAAAGAGTCAGAAGGAATCAGTTACGGCGAGTTAGGAAATACCTATCAATCGCTAGGAGACTTTCCCACAGCAATTCAGTATCATGAAAAGAGCCTTACCATTGCTCAAGAGCTTGCCGACAGGGCTGGACAAGTAGCCTGTTATGTGGAYCTGGGAAATGACTATGGATCAATAGGAGACTTTCACAAAGTAATTGAATACAGTGAAATGGCCATTGCCATTGCTAAAGAGATTGGTTGTAGAAAGTCTGAGGGAATTGCSTATGGGAACTTAGCAAATGGCTATATGTCATTAGGAGAATATCGCAARGCAATTGAATACATAGAAGARAGCCTTTCCATTGCGCAAGAGACTGGTAACAGGAGGGGAGAAGGAAAYACATTGGAATGCATGGGAAATACCTATCACTTATTAGGAGAAAATCTCAAGGCAATTGAGTACTATGAAAAAAGCCTTAGMATTGCTAAAGAGGTTTTTAACAGGGATGGAGAAGCAAGCAATTACGGAAGATTGGGAAATATGTATCACTCAATGGAAGAATATCGCAAGTCAATTGARTACTATGAAAACGGGCTTAGTATTGCTGAAGAAATTGGTCGCAAAGATATAGAGGGAGGCATTTATGGAAACTTAGGAACAGCGTATGAATCAATAGGAAATTATCACAAGGCAATTGAATGCAGTGAAAARGGCATTTGCATTTCAAGAGAAGTTGGTAACAAAGCAGCAGARGGACGCATCTACGAACACTTGGGACTTGCTCATGCCTCATTAGAAGAATATCACAAAGCAATGRAATGTCAAGAGAAGGCCCTTAGCATTGCTAGAGAGATTGAAGACCGAATTGGTGAATCAGCTTCCCAATGTAACATCGGTAAGATACGTACTTCGATTATATAAGCCCATCAATGAATGGCCGATGTACTTTTATGTTCTGGTGTGTCAGGGAGGTAGAAGGGAAGTCAGGGAGGCCAGTATTTTGTCTTGTTGTGATCAGGAATTTGCGCAATGCACCCCCATTTTATACTCTGCACAACTCCCTGAAGAAGGTTCTGTATATGTCCCTGTAAAGAGCTGTTCTCAATAGTGATCTCAGAAAAAAAAAAAAAACACTTAAAAACACTTACGACCTGTAAGTCGACTATGATGATAATTCTACTAATCGTCTGTCGTACTGAGGGTGAAAGTTATGTTACAAATGGCCGCGAACACAACTGATTATAACATGAGACTAGAGAAGTGTGGTACAAGATGTAAGGGTGGGTGACAGCCCACTGTCTTTTGATTTCCATGATCACTAGAAATTATTGACATCAGCTCCAGATCATGACCCCCTGAATTGTTTTTATGTACGCAATATTAACTCAAAACAAACCTTGATGCATTTTACATTTCAGTTTTTCGGGTTCGTTAGTATTTATTCAATAGATTGTTCAATACAAAAGGTGATTTTCCCTATGTGGTAAGCTTTCGGAATTTTTCCTAATTTCTAACGGCCTACATCCATTTTGTACCATTAGGAGTTCTCTTCAGTTCTGAATGCAGCTTGAAAAACCTCGGGAAAGCTGAAAAACACTTTCAAAGCGGAATTGAATGCAGTGAAAAGCTATTTGATGAGTTAAAAGAAAAAGACCAATTCAAGATATCATTCGTTGATACCTATGTTAAGAACTACAAACTTCTTAGCAAAGTTCAACTCGAGACAAAACAGCAAGAAAAGGCTTTGCTGACATGTGAACGTGGACGAGCCCGTGCTTTAAGRGATCTCTTGAGCTTGAAATACAACACRAATGAAAAACCTCCTTCAAAKCAAATTSAATCACTGAAACTTGATGATGTCAAGATAATTTCGTCAAGATGTGAYGCCTGCATTCTTTTCTAYGATATTSATCCTAATAAACTGACTGYTCGTTTGTGGGTTRTATCTTCACAATCCRATYCAATCGACGTGYATGATGAAATGGCCGAGCATGAAGCCTTAGAAARAATCGTATCTAATCTGMCTAAAGACGAAACGCAGAACATCAAGAACGGATATTTCCACCATCTTGTTGAMAACAGCTACCATCATATGAAYATTAGAGACGYAGTGAARTGTGAGGACCGRTCGCTGGAATCACTACAGWGTGARGAAGACATGGGCCCTGCACCTTCTWACACCKCATCARAACCCAATGAMACYGCTAGSRGTSTTTTCAGAGAACTTACMAGRTGGGTAGTAGACGTGGACGAAGATGATGACATGCCCTTGGAAGTGCTGTTTCAGCGATTAGTTACCCCAAAACTGGACAAGTTGACCACAGGTGAGATTGTCATTATTCCTGATGGCCCTTTGTTCATGGTGCCATTCGCTGCAATAAAAGATCCAGAAACGGGTAAATATTTAAGTGAAACCAAACGTCTCCGTTTGGCTCCTTCTCTGACGACTTTGAAAATTCTACAAGAATCTTCAGATGATCGCCACTACAAGGTAAGATTGTTTTCTTGAACCATAATTAATCCAATAAATGTATGCCTGCCCCCCCCCCCCCCCCGAATTCATTCATACATGTTGGAAAGTTCGCTGTTTGTGTCATGTCATTACTACTGACCGTTGCATCAAAAGCTTTTTTTAGAGCAGTCGTTCTGAGGCTGACTTCCAGATAAGGTTTTCACACGAAAATGGTTCTAATCATAGAAATGTTACTTCTCTGCTTTTAGTCGGGTGCACTGATCATTGGAGACCCTGTTGTTGGAGAAGTCATGTATAGAGGGAATGTAAAGAGAGATTTTCATCGATTGCCCGGTGCAAGAGATGAAGCAACAGAGATCGGAAAACTACTCGGAGTTGAGCCATTGCTAGGAGAAAAAGCAACAAAAAAAGAGGTATTAGGTAAACTACAGCATGGTGTGTCCGTCATCCACTTTGCTGCTCACGGTAGTTCACAAAATGGGCAGATTTTCCTGGCCCCTTCTCATCGTTCATCAACGAGTGCTGTCCCAGAGGAGAAGGAYTACATCTTGACAATGAARGACGCACAAGAAAGTGGAATTCGTGCYCAACTTGTTGTACTGAGCTGCTGCCACAGTGGTCGAGGAGACATCAAGTCAGAGGGAGTCGTTGGAATGACTCGAGCTTTCCTCGCTGCAGGAGCCCGTGCCGTTGTGGCGTCATTGTGGGCCATTGATGATTTAGCAACGAAGAAATTCATGCTCAAATTCTACTCGTACCTGAAGAATGGAGAGAGTGCCAGTAGTAGTCTACAGCAAGCAATGAAAGAGATGAGAGAAACAGAGGAATACAAGGATCCAAAGTACTGGGCTGCCTTCTTTCTCATTGGTGACGACGTCACCATAACTGTATAATTGATTAATAGCTGGTAATGGTCCTTTATTCTAATGACGTTGGCAAGGTTTTCCATGGGTTTATTGAAAGTACAAACAAAAAGGGTTTTCAATTATTTCCCAGGCACGTGTTTTATCATGTGTAGCCATCTCATTTCATGCTTTTCCAACTATCTCGACTATCGATAGCGTAGATTTTAATGAAGCTTTGTCCTTTTATGAGACATCCGCCATCTTGATTTCATCAATACCATGATGCAATTCGCACACATGACGTCATTAGGCTAGAAGACCATTGTGATTTGAACAGTGCATCCAGAAAATCCAGCTCCCTTTAAAAATACGGCTGGTTTTAAAGTTAGAAAAATTAGGCATGAAATAGTCGCATCCAGATTGTAATTTGTTAATATCATGACAGGGCACTTAGATGATCCATTTAGAACTAGAATTGATGTAGATTTTAGTGACATGACATAATAGTCATGCTTTGAGAACCCTATGGTTGTAGTACCTGTGTTAGCAGCGCTCGGCAGAGGTGCTGGCCTGATTACTGTTGACCAACGCTTATCGGGAAAGCACATTGTTATTGTAATCTTTTGTTCAATGTTCAAAATTCAAATTATTCAACGTTTGTTTGCTCGGCTAGCTTGGGTTACAATCTGACAATGGTCAGTTGCAGGATGATTTTTCAAATGGGGTTGTATTACTAGCTTCAACGCATTATAAGCATATTTCAAGCGTTCAGCTGCATTCTGTTGTTCTTGCTCTTTCTTGTCTTGTGGGAAGACATGAAGTCCCTTGTCGGAATTTGATATTGATAAAGCGTAGGAACCCGGGAGGAAGGCTATCTGTTCTTGAGTCTCCAATGAGATCTATAAGATCCATAGCAAGAAAATAGCCTATTTATCTACG